TATTCTATACACAAGGGAATGCGGTAGCAGAAAATAATGTCAAGTACATTGTTTTTATTAAAAATCATTTGTAATACAACTACTACATTAGTATTTATTAGACAGCTCCATTTTGGGATTTCCTTGTTGCTTAAAGTGACATTAAAGTAAAAGTAAAAAAAAATGTCCCCTCCCCCCATGTAAATGTTAGCACTTACCTTAAATGATGTCTCTTATTCCGATCTTCCTCTTCTTTCCCCATGTTTTTATGTGTCCCTCCAGCGGTGCGGCGGCTCTCCGATCCAGCGCTGACTGCTCTGTCCCTCCGATCCAGCGGTGTCTGCATGCGGGTGCACGCGTCCATAGACTTACCTTGCATCTCTGCTAGTCTACCGGCCGAGAATCGAAACTGCGCATGCGCCCGCCCCAAGATCCTTTGCGGCCGTACGATCACTTCCTCATTCTCGGCGCGGGAGCGAGCAGCGATAACGAGGTAAGTTTAAAACTAGTTAAAGCGTTTTTTTAAAAACTTCTTGCCTATATCTACTGCTTGCTAGCAGTAGATATAGGCAAAAAAAAACGGAGGGTTTAGAACCCCTTTAAGGGAACCTTGTTTGTTATAAACACTATTGACCTTGCTTTGTTCCTGACTTATTTTACTGAATTATATCTGCTTCTACTTTGTTCTAGAGCTTCCGACCTTGGCCTGATCACTGGACTATGCTTCTGGGTTGATTAACACTAGCAAGCCATGCTAAACACACAGCCGCTGTTGTGCAGGGAGAGAAACAGTGCCGATGTTGATATTTGTGACATTTCAATGAAAGTAACATTTCAATTTGTTTTACAGTCATAGTGCGGTGCAATGTAGTTGTACCACGCTGCACTGAAAAAAAAGTGGTGTGAACAGGGCTCACAGTGAGTAAGGCAAATTGCCTAGTCTGTGCATTAAGGCTGCACTGGAAAAGGAGACCAGTGTGAATCAGCCCCCTGCCTGCTGAATTTGCACCACATCACCCACATGTTAGTGAACTTTGGCTTTTTCGGACTACACTTCTGTTTGCTGGCCTGTTTCCTAATGACAACTTGTCCAGGAACAGATGCTGCGGCTCCTGTACTCATGCTCCTCGGTCACCACCATGTCACCGGTTGCCAGTACAAGGCTCACTCAGCCAGAGACACAAGATACGCAACCTTCACCACTCAGGTACGTGACAGAATGTTGCTCATAACTCTTCACATAGGCAAAAAAAGGAACACTTAAAACAGGACTTTTATTTGGCATTTCAAGGTCTGAAGAAAGACAACTGTGTATAATATGCATCTCAAAATGTAATGCATGAAAAAAAATATTTGGCATATGTCTGATTTTGAATGTATTGACATCTCTAATTACACATCCTAAGTGCACTTGTGCCCATACCAAACACTCCAAAGTAAAGATTTGTCTGAATCCAAAGCACAATTATGATGTTTTCCTTGTAATATTGTACTGCAATTTGCAGTGCATCCTGGGGCACATCTACTGGTGATCTTTTGTAATTACATTGAGCACTGAGAGGTGTGAAGAGAAGGATGTGAAAACCCTTTCACCCTTTGCAGAAGAAGGCAAGCTTGCTTCTGATGACTGTACTCTAAAGGTTTTTTAAGCAGATGTACCTATGTTTTGGAGTTCTTGGTGTCGGCACAGATGCAAATTTTTGTGGAAGGCTAATTTCTCTTTAAAGTCAAGCTAGAGCGTGCAGAGGTAAAGCCCTGGTAAGCTAACTTCATTGTTAATGGTATGTGTACACTACAAGTGGAGCTCTACTCTCTAGGGAGCTGCTGAATATATGGGTCCCTCTGCCATCCCCCTAGTGGTGACCCGCCCTGAACTAAATCCAATACTTACCAACAAACCAGTAGCATAAAATTGACTTTATTTAAGAAAAAGCAAAAGCCCCGCAGAGGCAAATTTTTTAAGGTAGTGTGGCAATAACAAGGCAAAAAAAAAAACAATTTCAGAAACAAACAGTTATAACTGGATATAAGGAACAACAGTTTGGCCTATCTATAATTCAGAGGCTCTAACTATATCACTGGCCGGTGGGGGTCCAACACACAGTCTGCCAGCATTGGGGCCAATGAACTCCCATTGGAGTGCTCTCTCTTTCTCTTCCAAGAGTACTTATGGTCCAACAAGCTTTTCGCCTCCATCTTATGTCAGTGGGTACAGCTAAAATTCTGGTCATGGAATGCAGCCGATACTTGCATGTATGTCCTCTTCTCCCAACAAGCTCTCCATCATGGTCTAGGGAAGGAGTGTCAAGCTGTGACAGTGATGGTACTCTAGCCTAGGCTGTGCAGCTCCGAGTTAAAGTTGCTGCTGGCCAGGGCTACATAAAATGCCTCTGCCAACAATTTCAGCAATATTTTTGGTTGTTTTTTATTCTTCTTCCTCCTCCTATTTACATACCAGAAGTTACATTTAAATGCTACGACCACTGTTGGTAATTTTCTAGGAAACATATTTAATCTGAAAAAAATTAATATATATTATATGCTTAACAATGTTTACCTACCTCAAATGGTAATGTGGCCCAGATATATGTTTTTCCTTTAAAATACATCAGCTGACTTATGTAACATGTTAAAGCTGAAGTATTCTGAATTTTGCATGAGGCATCAAGTAATTTTGGCAGATGAACTGTTACAGGACCAATTTTTTGGATGTAACTCTGACAATTTTCATGTATGCTAGTCTGAAGTTCCAGGAAACTTGTGCTAAGATTAAACTGCTGCTCACGGTTTAAAGTAATGTGCTTCTATAAAACAAAAGGCAAAATATAGAAAAAAAACCTGAACAATATTGCTGTACATTATTTAATATTAAGATAACTTACTAACATTTAGACTTATAATAAATAATAATAGTTCTTTACATATTAACACTATTACAAGTTTTACCAAAACGTTTCCTCAACTTAGATGGGACAATAAAAGGAGAACTATGAGGTGAGTGTTTTTCACTCACCTCATAGTTCTAGCCGACCTGTGACAATTAAACTGTCACAGGTCGGCTCAGTAGATCGGGAAGTGAGCGAACACATACCGGCGTTCGCTCACTTCTCGATCCTGTCCCGGCTCTCTGCCGTCACAGGGGAGGGACTGGATTCCCCCCTCCCCTATCCTCCAGCGCTGACTGGCAGAACGGATAGGGGAGGGGGCGGGTACAGCTGGCTCTGCCTCTAGATAGGCAGAGCCAGCTGTCACTCACGCAGCTGGGCAGATCCAGACATAATTGTCGGGATCCGCTTCAGCTGCGTCGTCTCAGTATACCGCGAGCTGTAACACATTTTTTACTGGTGCATATGTCTAGTTCCTATCATGCAACCTTTGCATTTAAATAACCATGAGTTACCCAGCTAATAATTAAAATAACTCAAAAGGTTGTGCCTCAAGGGAGCTGAGCTACTGGGAAAGAAGCGAAGTGATAGAAGACAGAGGAGCTGAGTTGTAACAGTGAAGGAAAACATGCACGCATGAGCTGAGTATGGATAGGAAATGAAAACAAAAAGCTAAAAGATTTAAATGGGTCTTGAAAAGAGCAAGGGCAATTAAAAGAGAACAGAGGAACACCAGAACAAGAAGACATCTTCTATAAAATAGTATATATTTTAACTTCCCTTATGTAACCATAAGGGAAGCTAAACAAACTTTTATTCTGTTTTCGCGGTTAACCCCCAAAGGGTATAACCGTACCTTACCATGACATACAATACAAAGAATACAAGGTTTCTCACAACTACCTCGACATTTGCACCAGAAATATGAACTTTTTAACTGTCCAGCATTCCTGTGCTGGTTGCCCCAATGACGATAAGCAATATTCTGCAAGTCTATTGCTACTTAAATACTACCTTGCTATTTCACCAACATCCTTTTCATGTCATATGAAAAGCATTAGGACACCTCGGCTCACAGAACTGAATAGCATTCTGAAACTAACGAATAGCACTCGGGAGTTTCCGAATGCTATGTAGTATTTGACGGCTGAGAATGTCAAATGGGCGGAGCGAACTGTGACATCACGGCTCGCTCCGCCCATCTGTTGACATTCGGGCTGAATGTTGCGAGTTTTCGTCGGGTTCGGGTGGTCGTCGTGTGGCGGGACTTTTTTTTTATTTCGGCGGGGGTCGTGCATTGTGATTGACGCTGGGTTACATCGATGGAGCCATTTTTTTATTTTTTTTTAATTAAAGGAATAGTCAAAAATTGAGTCTTTGTTTTTTTCAATTAAAGGATTTTATCTAAAAGTCTGGACTTTTTACTATTTGATTTAACCCTTTAGTGAATGGGTAGGCGTGCAAGTACCCCTTACTCATTCACAAGGGGGGAGGGCGGCATCTGGGTGCCCCCTTATTTAAAGGGATACCCGATGCAAATAAGCCCGCAGACCCCCACACCACCGGGTCAGGGTTGTGAGGAAGAGGCCCTTGTCCCCACCGGCACAGGGACACCCTCCCAATGCCGAGGGCACGTGGCCTGGTAAGGCGCAGGGAGAGGTGGCGCTCGATCGTCCCCCCCTTTCCTGCCCTGCTGGTCTCGGATAAGGGTCTGGTAGGACTGTTAGGGGGGACCCCACGTTTTTTCCCCCCACCATTTTTTTGGGCTGGGGTTCCCCCTTAAAATTCCTACCAGACCTAAAGGGTCTGGTAGGATTTTGGGGGGAACCGCATGCACTTTTTTTTGTTTTAACTTGGGGGAGGGTCCCTCCTAACATTCCTACCAGACCTAAAGGGTCTGGTATGAATTGGGGGGGAACCTCACGCTTTTTTTTTTCCATATTTTGAGGACTGTAAAAAAAAACAAAAACATTTTTTTTTCTAATGCCACTTTTCTGCTAACGAAATTTCGACCAGACTACCGCTAACGAATTTCGGGAAATCGGATTCGTTAGCATTCGTTTTAGCTGTAATTCGGATGCATCCGGATTTCCGAACTTCCGAAATTTCGTCCGAATTTCGATGGATTAGGTGAGTATAACTTTTTTTTTGACCCTAGGTAAAAATGAGCAGTTAACTCTTGCAGTGCAGGGATAGCTCCCACAGCAAGGGTTAATAATGTGCCTGGAGCTCTTCTTTCTTTATAGCTACCAGAACAACATTTTTGTGTCTCCCACACTAGGCAAAACAGTAAAGAAATGAAAAATTGTTCACATAGAAAACATATGTGTGTGTGTGTGTGTGTGTGTGTGTGTGTGTGTGTGTGTGTGTGTGTGTCTGTGTGTGTGTCGTGTGTCTGTGTGTGGTGTTGGCAGTGTTACTAACTGGCTACCTCTGCCTGAGCAACATATCAGTAGCATGTTCTGTTCCACACAACTCCCTGACCTGGACAGAGCTTGGAGTCAGTTAGAGTAAGCATTGCTGTGTGTTCATAGCCAGTTTTTAGAAGAGAGAAATCATAAGAGATTACTTTGTTTTTAGAATTTTGTTGCATTTAATTATTTTTTGGTAATTATGACAATGTGATCCATCCAGAAAGCTTCTAATCATGAGACTTACTGGATGGACCGCAATGTCCATCCAGTAAGTCTGGATGTGTAATTTATACCACCTACAACATTCATGCTTACATCTTAATTGAATTAAAAAGTTGAAAAAAATTGTAAATATACCATTCATTACAGTATTATTGACCTTACCAGCATCAGATCACTGATAGAATCCTTTCCCTCCATAAATATATATTTCATGTCTGGCCATTTGAATGACACCTCCATGACAGTTGATAACAAAATAATTAAGTTCTCAGCTAATTTTTCTGTTAATGGAATGTTTCCAGCTCTCTCTTTAAGAAAGGATTTAATCAAATTAAGAACAGGCATTACACTTTCAGGGATTACCTAGGTTAAAGGAAGCAAAATAAATAAATAAATCAAATCAATAATGCTTGACAAAATCTACTGAGCATATCAAACACAAGTGAATTTTCACCACATTTACAAAGCTAAGGGAAAATTCCCTTGCAAAGTCAACAGTATATTTGCTTGTAGTAAATTAACCCCATTGAAGGGCTGTTGTATGTAGGATTTATTGAATGCTATAAACATGTTGGAAAGGCAACTGCAGCTGCAAAGAGCAGAGTCCAATACAGATGGGCTTCAGGTTGTCTCTTAAATTGACACTTAAAACTCAGGAATTAAATCTTAAAAATGCATCCAGTACCTTAACTATTAACAAAAATGTGCCTTATTTGTCCAACACTTGGTTGTGGGTCCTCAAGTCATCACTAAATTGATGCTGACACCGTCCTTTTTTTTGGAGGGTGGCTACTTTTGTTCCCCACGGTCCCTGTGTGGGTTGTAAAGTGGTCAACGCTCCAAGCTCGCTCCTGTGATCGACTATAACCTTAATAAAAATTAGTAAACTAAATTTGAGATTGTAGTCCATCACAGCAGTGAGCTTGGAGAGGTGGATACTTTATAACACACACAGGGACCATGGGAATACAAGTTGCCACATTCCAAAAGGAAGGACAGTGTCAGCAGGAATTCAGAGATGATTTGAGGATCTACAGCCGAGTAATACACAAAAAAACTACATTTTTGTTAATATTTAAAAGAGAAATATGGGATAAGTGTTTTTCCCCACAGTTCTCTTTAGGGTCACGGGAGGACATATATTAATGTCCTCCCGTGACCCAAAGCTCAGTATATCGCAGGCTATTGTTCACGATATACAGAGAGTGCCGTAGCCAGGACGGATCCCGACAATACTGTCGAGATCCACCCAGCTGCGTGAGTGACAGTTGGCTCTGCCTATGTAGAGGCAGAGCCAGCTGGGCCAGCCCCCTCCCCTGTTCATTCCTCCACTCAGGGCTGGAGGATCGAAGAGGGGAGGGGGGAATTCCTGCGGGGAGCGGTGACTGACAGTCACCACTCACTGCAGGGAGACAATCGGGAAGTGAGCAGATCGGTGCATGTTTCTGTTCACTTCCCGATCAATAAAGCCGACCTATGACAGCTTCTTTGTCACAGGTCGGCTCTAACGAATATGAGTGGTAAAAACTCACCACACAGTTCTCCTTTAAGGTACTTGAATGCATTTTTAGGATTAAACTCCTGAGTTTAGTGTCACTTTAAATGTCTGACTTTATGAACCCTTATAAATGCTTATTGGCTATGCTTTGATGCATATCAAATTTTACCATTGCCATAATAACAGTGGTCACAGACCTTTCGTGGCTTTTAATCTCGATGGCTGCAGATTTTTGTTAACCTTCTGTGACTCCAATATGAATGGACTCTTTGCAGTCATAGCAGCTTTTTTATGTGATTTCTCATCCTTGGCTATGTTAGGACATTAAAGCTCAACTCTAGCTCAAACGTTGCAGATGTATAATTATTTGTCTGTCTCCCCTTTTGCTTTAACTGGTCTTATCAAAAAGTGAATTTGATATATGTGCATACTTGAACTCAGAACTTCACAAATAAAAGTGAACAATGACTACATTCATTATTTTTGTGTATGCTTAGGTTTTTATGTATGTACCATACCTGATTTGTGGCGTTAAACAGATCTTTTAGCATTTCCACAATATCAGTAAACTCATCCTGTAATAAAACATTAATAAATAAGTACTGATGACTCCTATATCATTTTAGAAATTAGTCATTTTAATTATGCATATACATTTATTAATAAAGCAGCCAACACATAGTACAAGACTCTTTTTGTTTCTTTTTTTTAGCATGGTGCCTGTCATGTTTTCAAAATATTGTGTTCATTTGCTGGTCCTTCAACTCTCAGCTGAGAGGCAGTAGTGAGGAGTAGTGGCCATTTATTGCTGGTAGCGCTTATCTGAGGAGGGTGGGGCAATAATGATTGGAATAGGTTTGGTAACCTGTCAAATCACTGGAGCTTAGTAGCTACTACATTTGTCCAAGACTGCTTAGTTTAGTAGCTGCTGGCGCGCGTTGTTGGCGGCTTGTGATTTTGCAAATTACAGTTATTCTCCCCAACTGCTGTCATTCACACAACACAAGCCCCCAGCTACTACTGTAGTCATCTCCTAAGAACTAGCTGGTGACTGTAGGCTCAGTCTTTTATCTGTACAAACAAAGCAGAGGAAGCAAGGCTGCATGGCAAAGAGGGCTACATATGTTCGTTCATGTTAGTCAGAACTCTCATCTCCTTGCTCCAGTGTAGTCAGACACTGTGGGGTGGGGACTAGTTATCCAACTATGTTGCTTAGAGACCACAGCCCTGGTTTTCACTGGGACAAGTGCTATGTGCACAGGGTCCACTGGTGGAGTTAACAAACCTTAATAACTACGGGTGCAGTGGCGGATCCAGGGGGGGGAGGGCAATGGGGCAGGTGTCCTGACTCTCCATCCCCGTTCTGACCCCCCCCCCCGAGATAGAGAGCCCCCCCCTTCCTCTCCCAGCCGCAGTAGTAGTGACACCAGTACATCACTGCACAGCGGCCGGGACATGCAGCTGTCACAGAGTTTACTGTAATTCAGTGTAAAAAAACGGCACACTCCAAGTACTATGCCGTTTTTTTTACACTGAACGCAGTAAACTCTGTGACAGCTTTACAGCTGTATGTCCCGGCCGCTGTGTGGGGATCATAGGCTTCAACCCCCCCCCCCCCCACACGACC